GCTACTTATGCTTAAGTATTAATGTGTGTATATATAACTAACTTGATCTATGATTATTTGATGTCCAACTAATCACAAGTATTTGAGAGTCAAGTTTTTGTTTGATTGTTCTAAGCACTAGATATTAACTATATATATACTGGAATCTGAGTGAAGTCCAATGACAAGTAATTTTTTTTATTAAGCTAACAACCAAAGTCAATTAATTGAAAGTTGTAAAGCTTACTGAGACATATCTAATAATAGTTATATCATCCAAATTAGCTTAGCAGATACTGAGATATTACTAAATAGTGATTAGGCAACTATATAAAATTCTATATAAACAAATATAAAATTTTATATAGTCAACTAATTATTTTTTAGTAATATCTCAGTATTCACTAGACCAATTTGAATGATATAACCATCATTAGATATATTTCAATAAGCTTCACAACTTTTAATTAATTAACTTTAGTTGTTAACTTAATAAAAAAATACTTTTTATTAGACTCTGCCAAGATTTTAGCATATAATAAAAATTTATATTGTACTTATTCCAAAATTCACAATATAGTAATTATGCTAATCTTATCTGGATTATCAATTAATAATAATTGTATTAATATTTGTACTAAAACTTTGATTGAAGTTATCTCAACAACCACATAACCAAAATTAATGAACTTGATTTTATTTGAATTCTAATTATCTGCAAAGTTCAAATAAAAAAGTTTATCAATTTTAATCAAGTAATTGCTAAGTTGTCTTTGATTCAATTTTTAAAAACTTATAAACAACAAAGTAATAAAATTGAAATAATTTTTATGTAACTATGGTGTGAATAACAAAAACCCATAGTGTGAACAGAAATTTTCTAAATTATATTAATTTTTTATATAAATTTATTATTAAATATCTCAAGAACTAATAATTAGATTTTAATAATTTTAGAATTATTAAAATTGTATTTTTATTAAGATATAAATTTAAAATTTTAATTTAAAAAATACTGCATAAAATTTGATCTTTTTATTTAAAAATTTAAAATTTAAAAAATTTATATTATTTTTAATATAATATTATTTTTATTTAACTAATACAAATTTTAAAAAGTGTCTATAATACACTGGTGGAAGACTGTAGCTTTGCATAATATACAATAAACTAAATTAAAAAACAATTTTAATAACTAATTTTAAAGACAAAATCTAGTGGTTGCTGTCCCAAACCATTCAGATTGCACGATTAAAAACTTCAAAAAATTCCCAATCAAATAACTTAAAATTATAACTGGCAAAAAATATTTCTTATATAATTTTCTAACCCTAAATATAATTCTAAATAAAACCCGGTTACCGTCACCGCCAACAACAAATAAATTATTTCATAAACAGATATTAAACAAAAATCCTACTCTCGGAGCAATACCAAAACCTGAGACTAGTTTTATGCCATATTTACTAAGTACGTTTTTCAAGACTTCAAATTTCTCATTATGAAATTAATATCTGCTTCCTTCACCACCTTCTTTCTTATTTTTTCCTTTGTTCAGTTCTTGTTCAACAATCTCTTCATTAAAGTCTTTAGGCAAATAGTCTAAAAATTTTCTGATAGCTCTATTAAAACTTGTTTCCACACTTTTTATCGATTTTGGGGTCAAATTTCGTAAATATCTTTCGTAGCTGGATGTTGCCCACAGATGTTAAGTATGTTGGTGGGAGGAATGGTAGACATTTGATTCGTACACTCACTTCAGATGCTT